CACGCGGACGAAGTCGCATGTACAGCTAATACTAAATAAAAACAAAACGTAGAAGCATTTTGTATTGTCCGGACAAGACGGAATAAAAGCATGGAAATATATTTAATATTAATTATAGTGGTTGATTATTGCTGATAATTGAATTTAAATAGTGAAAATAAAATAAATAACTTATTTTTACCTACGACAAATCGAACAGGACATATATTGTAGATTGACCGATATGACAAATAACATTCTTATCTGTAGTAGGTATATAAACTATATGTAATAAAGATAAATAGGTAAAAATGTAGCTACTTACCTAAAGAAAGTACCTATTATGTTGTACGAATATAGTTATTTTATATAATTTGGCCAGCAAGTTAATTAACGGCACAGAATGCAGTGATCACACTAATTGTTTGTTCCTAGAATTAATTTATGGTAAAGACTAATGCTATGAATAACTAGATACCTATAAATTGAAATCTGAGAATATTATTAGGTTATAATAATAATTGTAATATAAATTATTCATTATTTCGAGGGAATTGGGAGGGGGGGGCAGGTGTCTGTCACTAATAAGAATAATATTATGCCCATTGCTAGCAATTTCCATAAATATTAGGTAGACACTTCTAAGCGGTCTCCCTTGGAAACTATTGTGGTTAATTTCTGGTAAATTTCACACGACCGGCTAACAGATTGATTTCATTCAATTAGATGTTCTTCATTTTCAGCGTATACTATGAGCTCAGGCAGGTGATACCATACCGTTGTCAGTCAACAAATATTTATTGCGCACTGAGAAAAAACAATAGTTAGAAAGTGCAATAAAAAATTGGTATGCAGTCTCTTACAGATAATCTAGTGTATCAAGGTGTTACCTTAATAGTATAATGCAGACAGTTCAAATCCGGACCAATCTGAAAATTGGCATCAAAAATAAACTGCATTTAGAAAAAAAATCAAAGCAAAATGTTAAAGCTATATAAATTCTAACATCTTTCTTTAAATTAACAGTGTTTTAAGTAACAAACTTCAAAAGTATTGCATTTGGATACAATTGTTTAAAAAATGTCACACGTAGGTACAACGTACATTAATGATATATTATCTCAATATAATATTATTATGTTTATTCTTATATATTTTACATTGTACTAAACGCTCTAAATTAATTCAATTTAATTCCCTTTTATTATTATTATTTTCTTCAAATTATTTTCATTATAGAGTTCTGGAAAAGCGCCATCTAGTTTATGACACTTATATTACTATATTTACCGTGTCTGCTAACCACCGGTCACGGTGTTGTGCTTAAAAAAACTACTACTACTGCGAATAGATGGCGCTGTGAGTGTTTCCATCGATAAAAGATAGATGGCGTTAGCAATACATATTATGTATAGTTATTTCTCTCATTTGAATTTTTATTCCTAAAATAATTTACGAAATATAGATATTGCAAATTATTGTCAGGGAATTCGGTCTATCGCGCGTCGTAATTCGTATTCAATCGATATTGCACTTCGATATTTTTGTAATATTTATAGCACTACTAATAAGCCTTCCAATATTTTAATGATTAAGATCAATGTTTTCGAGTATCTAATATTACACATGGAAATGAGTGTAACTCATTTTTTAACCTAATTGATCTGTTGACCTGGCATAAAGACGGATAGAGGTTTCTATGGTAGGAACAGGTCCCACAGAATTGAGGGCAGTGGAGTGGTCAGTGGAGTACGCAGATCACTCCAACTGTCGTTGATCTAAGTGAGATAACTGTAGTGGAACATCGATACCACCAGTAACTCCTAAAGATATTTTTTACTGATGTATGCAAAGATTAAAACCATTAATTATAGAATATGTACATAATTCATTTAGGTAAGTAGGGATATTAAATTATAAGCTTTGAATATTAAGTGTGATAGTGTGTTATATAAGTTAGCTAGATTAATTTGAGTAGGTTGGTACTTTTTATTAAGACAATAATTTATTTAATACTATTATTTATAGCACGCACGCACGCATAGTTACAACTGTTGCCTCTGGTAGTTATTAGAAACATGTTTTAGTTTAGAATTTAGTGGGTGTTTTCAAAAGGTACATAAATAAGATAACATTACATAACGTGACTAAGAATCCACTATATACATATACAAAAAATTGAGTTAAATTACTTAATTAAATTTTTGCTATATTAGTAATAATCAAATCTATATAGCATTATAACGGTGAAAGGAAAGAGTTTTTGAAATCAGTCCCGAACTTTTTGAGTTTCTTCATTATAAATATACAAAAATAGTAATGTTTCTTATTGACTAAATATTAGTACATTTGCGCATGATACGAATGACGCGATTTTTTCACAGGTCTGGGCATAAACTGTAGCATTAGTATTTTTTTAACGCTCTACCCTATATAAAGTTCATCCAATTTATATACACCTTTATTTAATGTGCATTAACAGGCGATCCTTACTACGACCATTTATTTGAATACCTACTCGTGGTAAAAAAGCCGTTAATTAGGTAGGTATGCATAATTAATACATTATATATTATAATTTTGGATAATAATCTAGATTCGTAGATTAGTAATAGGTATATTTCTAGATGAGACCTATTTATTTATATTTTATTGACAATTTTTTGTAAAGACAAATTAGTGAATATAAAAGGTATTCGTATTTATCCTTAATTCATCCAAAGTCTAAAAAAAACCAGTCACCGAAATATACATTACACTAATAGACTAATAATAAATGATAACGCATATTTTCTGTTACCTCTTTTGTCTCAAATATACACAGATTATTAACACTAGATATGTTTTTATAATTGTTGGCACCGCTCTTATGAAAATTGAACTAAAATTGAATCTATGGATTATCTAGGATTAAGTATCCTGTTTTAAAAAGTGAAAATTTGCACAGTCACACAAATAATGTTTTATATTAATTAAGACAGGCTTGCATGTACAAAACCTTTAAAATGAATACACAACCAAAAATAAGAATACAAATATCAAAATAAACAAATTACAAATTCACGCAAAAAATATTTTGTGCTTAGTAACAAGCACAATCTTTAATAAGTAGAGATATGCGGGCACGTCTCTCTTTGTTTTTGTTTTAAACTGTTTGTGCAATAACCAACCCGATAATGTATATTTGCCTAAAATACAAACTAAACAAATGAGGTTTTCCTTCGTAGGTACTATGCCCTTACCTATCTGGCGACTTAATAAATATTTTGTAAATTTAACACTTTTATCTAGAAACGTAAATATCATTAATAAATAACTATTATTATTTATTTATATTATTACTTAATTATTAATTATACATTCCCCATTGTATGCTAGATCTGGTTTCTTTAATTTCTTTTTCCTCAATGTCTTCCCGCCAGTAAGCAGTACAGACAAAATAGGATCCTAGTTAAAATAATAATTAACGATCCGATGTCAAAACTGGTCGCGGTTTTAAATATCATCAAATAAGCATATTGACTTGTTAGCTATTTTATTGTCAAGGTTGTTATTTCTCCTGTTAGAAATAGAAAATGAGGTAATTCAAAACAGGTTTCATATTGCCTGTGACTGCTTTGTTAGCTCTATTTGATACTGTTCCATAGTGTTGGATATATAAAATAAGGATACATATAATGGCGAGAAAATCGCGCAAGAAATAATTTAAACATTGTTTATACATACCAATAACCAATTATTCTGGTTTTGTAAAATTCAAAAGCGTTGGCCGTGTAAAATCGACTGGCTTATTCTTGTCCGTTGCATCTTGTTTATTTTTTTCCTCGTTGAAGATGTATCAGACGCATTATCCTGGAGGAGGGTACGTTTTGGGCGCGGTTAGAGGCAAGCGGGGAGGGGCCGGACGATGTGCCCGCGCATAACTCGGGAGTGACGTCACGTGGACCCAGTAAAAAACGCCATGAACTCACGCAGTCAAGGTCTTTGAGACCCCTGCATTTACATCTTATTATATCTACATATTAGCGCACTGCTCACATTTGTTATACTGCTCGAAGCGCATAGTTATGTTGCAGGCTTTATGACATTCATTTTCATTCCTGGATCTATTTTAAATGTAAATAATAAGAATTCGCTCAGAGACTGGAAATAATTTAATATCCACACTACTATAATTTTATAACAGCAATTGAGTGTTGAGTTTTAAACAGAAGTCGTAAATCGTTCTACGTTGTCTTAGTTAATCATAGTACTAACCATAAGTAAATCATTTTACATAGTGTTAAATGATATAAAGACGACATAAATACATTTTAACGGTAATTTTGTAAGAAAGACAGCAGTCTCCGTTGGAATATCAAGAACCTTGTACCACAGTTAGAAGACCTATATAGATATGATCATTAAAATAATAGAATTCATAATTTTCGCTTCCTCTTTTTGCATTTTACCTGTTCCATATTTAAATTCGTTTCTGTAAAACCTTGGTTGCCTTGAAAAGATTGCTTTCAGCAATAAATCCATCTTAAAGTGTCTTTTCTTCATTGTATGCTACAAATAAAGTATTATACCAAAAATATATATATATATATAAATAAAATATTATATCCAGTTATCTAATTGAGTATATTATGATTCCTTCGCAATGAAAGCAATAGTAGCATGAACAGTAGCTGTAGTTACTGAACAATGATTGTGAATTCCCAAAATATCTACTTTTATATAATACAAATTAACACAAAATTGAGCAGGATCATAAAATGATACTATATTCTATATCAGACTCACGACATAAAATGTTAATAAAATGCATTGTTATGGTGATATGTCATATTTAATGTTATCTCAGTTTTATTTTTGTGGAATTGAATTGAAAATACTAGATAAATATTTATAGCGCTATAGTCCATGTATATAGGCGATAGATCTCAGTTTGATGGCTAAACTTGCTCTCTCATGTCATATAAAACTTAGTTTATTTAAATGTTCTTTGAGTTTAATGATCAAACTGTTATTTTCAGGTGACGGTGTGGGGCAACAACACAGTTGCTGAAATAGTTTGTGAACCGCTTCGAGAAGTTGGTATGGTAGTAGCTGGTCTTCCCACTGGCCCGCTGTGCGCACCTCAAGCAGTTCCCCTCGCGGGTCCCTTGCCACTACCTACAGCGTTCAGCGACACGCCGCCTGCTCCACCTGCAGCACTGTTATTTCTTGGTGGCTCCAAAGCTCCTGTGGAACCAAGAGCATCTGCGACTTCATTGGAAGGCGAAGTTCTAGTAGTCGAATATCAACCTCCGCACTGGGACGGCAAAGACTTGGAGATATTCATAGCTTGGGAGAAAATTTATGGTCAGTAAATATCATATGACAGTTTTATTATAATTATTGAATATTTTAGTAGATTTCTGTTATAGATTTAAAATTAATAATAATATTAATAACATACATCCACATCCACACACACTAGCTGAATATATTTACTTGGTTTTTATTTCAATAAAGGCAAACGAAATTAAGAGTAAAATTTTGTAAAGAATATAAATACATGTTTTATATATATAAGAAGAATATGACTGCACGACAGAAAAGTCGGTAATTTAATTTAAATTATGAAGTTAACTCCCTATCTATGTTATCTAAAGTGTTTTGTTCTACTAATAAAATATATTTTTACTTTCCAATTAGTTAGAATGTTCGTTAAACGTTCTTGTACCCAGTGTCGGTTCAAATGAGGAAATTTACTTCAACATAATTTTACTATGTGCAATTATTTACGTCGCAGCTCGCAACTGAGACTACCACACTTTGTTAATCGTGTAGTATGTTGCTCTACGTCATACGTCTAAGCCAGTATAGAACGTCATCACTAAGCTTAACTACCCAAATATCCAATAGACATATTGAATATTCCGCATGTAGACATAGCATGTTTGTAGAAAGCGGTTTGGCAATAAATGAGACGCGTGTATGCACGCCATTGTCCGATAATCTTTCGCAGAAGTATATTGTATGTATTAGGTTTGCATCAATCGTGACCATCATACTGATACTACAATTTCATACTCAAACTAGTTGTCTATATATTGTAACAATCAATCGACTTCCACAAGAATGTTCGTTCAACGAGAGATTTTTTACATTTGAAACCTACCATACAAAAAACATTAAATAGAAGTTGAGAACTTGAATATATGTAGGTATATATTAAATAGTTTAATTATATATATTAGTATTAATTAAGTTAATTATGAAATGAATAAATTGTAATAATTTTTAAACCTACTTATTGACAGCTATTTTAGAGAGTCAATCTTGATCAGTTCAAGGAGTTGCAAAGGTCTGGGTCACATACAATTGATGAACTTTAATGCAAGGTGAATAATTCAATTGATGTGTAATCTGACCTTTAGATCTCCTAAATAATTTATGAAATAGTACTAGATTATAAATATTTATTTATACTAAATGAGTAGCGTCTTCTACTGACGTAGACTTTCTAAAAGTCGTCTGCGTGTGTATCTCAGTCTCACCTGCTTCAGTCTCCAAGCAGCTTGCTTTGTACAGGATACATAACATGACATCTTACTCCTCAGGAATGGTAATCCTGCGTCACATGATCACTTGATGTCCGTAGCTCTGTTCATGTATATAGCTTGTTTGCCATTCCAATTTAGTAAAAAGGTATCATACATTGCGACAACATTGTACACAATACATGACTAATGAATACTTTATCTCTATTACAGCTGCAACTTTGTATTCAGCTGTGGAATTATTTGGAAAACCATTACTACGTGCAGCAGTTATCACTAAGGAAGAATATCACTTACTTTTCTATTATCTTGAATCTGTGTCTGAAGCCAGTGAAGCATTAACTGAGAGAATGAGAAAATACATAGATTCTGGTCTTTTGGTAAACGATGGTAATACAGAAGATGATGATGCACACTCTATAATTTCAAAGAAGTCTATTATAGTTGATGAGGAAGAAAAAAGTATACTTACGGAGCTAATTCAAGAAGGAATCCTCTCCCAACAGGATGTTGATGGTTCTTCAGTAATTACTAATTCTGAATATAATGAGTCAATAGATAACCATAGAATTGAAGATGACAATAGATCTAGTATTTCATCTATAACTGCTAGTCTTCGAAAAGTAATTGTTGATATACCAATAAATTGCGATGAATCTGTGGCCGATAGCTCTATTATAGAAAGCAGTGATAATGTAACGACTGTGACAATTAGAAGCGGCGGACAATGTTGCACCGACCATAGAATATCAGCTGATGCTAATGAAAATGTTTGGGCTAATGTGAGATGGGATTTCCTTAATCCGACTGACTTTGGGTATGATTTAGTGCGCAGTGTAAAACGAAGTCGTTCAGAGTCTGCTATTGTAACTCCTGTTGCCAGGCGTCGAAATGAAGAATTATATGAAGCGTTACGTGATGGTGAATCTTGTGGAAGTGTAACACCATATGAGTCTATTGAGGATTTGTATGACTGTATCAAGAATTCTAAATATACAAGCGCGGCTGCTGAAGAGTCTTCACCTTCAACAGAAAGCCAATCTGAGCCACAATTTCCGGATTATTATGAAAAAGCCAGCACTACTCGACAAAGTTCAGCGAGTAGTGATAAAAGCGGCACCTCCTCCGCTTTTCCCTTTTCGAAATGCGGTTCGAGTGATTCGACGGGTGCGTTCACGTCATGTGAATCGACTAGTGGCATAAGTACATTTGCTTCGAAAAGTATTCCAGAATCGCTTAAGTGTCGTGAGTTACCGCCTCCTCCGATTGAAGACGGAGAGGGCGAGAGTGCGATCTTGCTTAAGCAACTATTTATGGGAGAGTTGATGGACGCTTATGGAGAGTACCTTTCTGCATATCCGTTCGCTCGTGCTCTTCTTCGTCGAAAGGCACGTCGTGACGAGCACTTCACTGCACTTGCTGATATAAGAAGAGGGGCTGCCAAACACACCATAATAGAATACCTCGAGTTACCGGTAAGTACTAGTTCTCTTTAGTATACTCATCACTATGGAACTTAAATGCAATATGAAAATATAAAATTTTGTAAGCAGCTAAAGAATAACGGTATTCCGATGCTCTTGAACTTAACTCGAACAGTGAATCGACACAGTGCCATGTAATGAACGTGTCAAATGTGGTCATTACGTTTAATCACTATAGGGAAACGAGAACAATACAACTAAGAGCGTTGGTCGAGATTGATTTAGATCGAGTCGAGATTTGTAGCCGATTAAATCGCGACCGCGCGACAATGATCCGTGCGACATGCGCACGCGCCGCTATTCAATGCTAATGGGCCGGAAGAGTGCACGTGTAGCTCTCTCTGGTGTTGATTACAGACATTGTTCACGCCAACGCTGAAGTTTCGGGTTTGAATATAACGGCAAAGGAGTAGACGACAAATTAATAAAAAATTAAGTGCTGTGTTGTTAAATATTTAATAGGTTCAGAAATGCTTTGATTTAATTTCCTATCAGCAGCAATATAGAAATTGAATCCATTTGGAAATACACCTTCGCAAAATATAATAGAGTAATGCGTTATATATGTGTAAAAAAAATACTTGCGAATCTAACTATTGGATTTAAAAATAGACATACATAAAGATTTATCATGAAAAAGGAATATATTGACTGTTCTGTTAGTAAGGATTTTTTGCGACTAGTGTATTTTTCGTAGAGTATATTAACACTAGTGTTAGGTACATACCTTACCGTATATTCACCAAAATAAATAGCAGTAATAGGTAGATAAATTAATTATAATAGTTAGAGTTATTGCTTAAAGAAATTTAAGTATATTATATAATAATATGATTACTTTAATCGTCTCCTAATCGCTTACGCCTATTGGTTTATCATAAATTTTCACATTTAATTAATTATGGATAATCAAACTTAATCTATAAAGCTTCCTAAAATGTGAAACTTTGTATGTAACATACCTATTATGGCAACGTGCCTACCTAATTCGCAGAAATTAAATTTAAACCATCTCGTTCATATGCTAATTGGATGGCTGTAGCATATATATAGGTGGTTAATCAAAACAAGACAATAAATTTATAGAAAGATAATATATATTACAAAAACAAAAATAGAGTTGTCTATAAATGTAACGAATTTTTATATAACTTGCGTGGAAAATCTTTCGGTCTACCTTTTGAACAATCAAGTTGCCTACATGAACAGAAGACAAACGTTTCATCGTCTGATAATTCCGTCGCCATATTTCATTGTTTAAATCAATCAAAAAATGTTCCAGTTTTATGGACCATGCTGCTTGGTAGCAGAAAAAAGTGTGATTAAGGTACAGATGTATGCATCCAAGAATATGTATTTTGTGGAGTTTTTTATGCAACAGGAATGGCAAACTTGCTGAGCTTACCTATTGGTAAGATACTCTTAGCAATATACACGAAGAACACCACAGATATGACGACATCATTTGATGCCCATAGTACTCATGCGTTGCCGTGACTAAGAAAAGAACGGCCACCGCACGGTGTACTTGCATTTTTTGTAAATACACACATAATATACATACATACATACAATCATACTCATGAGGGTTTTACACAAGTGTTTGACCGTATGAGAAAATCGAACCCGCGACCATCAGACGTAAGGCGATATGTTAAACCACTAGACCACCGAGGCCGTCAACTTTGTCTAGATATAGTTAGTAAACATTATCTTTTCCTTTGATCATCAACTGTCGTCCTCGTTACTTCAGCAGTTTAGTGGACACCAGAAGTAACTGTATTTCCTTATTGTTGTTACGAAAGAACTCGCAGCAAACTTGTTTTGCTACATGATACTAGTTGAGTAGTCGCCATGTTGTGATTAGATCTTCTTTCCTATTTTTATTTATATGCTGGTAAACTATAATAGGTGTATTACTTTAAGCAGTACATATACTTTTTGCGTTAAAAAGATCACATGTTACGGCAATGCAAGTGATGATGATAAGTTTACCTCAAATAGACTACATAACATAGTCTACATACATTAGTAAAACTAGCGAGCTATTCCGACTTCACTTTGTTTGTACAATGTATATAAAAAAATACATAAATAAGCAGACAAAGCAGAGAAATAGAATAAAACACGGAGAAATGTATAATGAAACAGAAAAAATAAAAATTTTATATCGTTCATTACAGCAAGTCTTAACATCAAACATTTGTATTTTAATGGCACGTTTGCAAGTGCGAAAATATTGCACGCGCAGCCACGCAACTCCGACGGAATGCTAAATGATCTCATGTGAGTCCCTTAGATACGACTACTCAGAAGACGCCGACATTCCCCATGCTATACGCTCACATACCCACCATAAACACCATCTGAGATCGCGCTGATTACCACTAGAGTTACAAACTAGTCTTATTGGGGACATTAGGATAAGAACTCGCTAAGCTTTGCTATTATGGGCATCCTTTAGCGACATTGATGATATTGCAGCTGATATCTGGGTAATAACCGGATATATTTCTTAGTAGTGTAACTGCTTTTACTATGTTATATTCGTATCAATACACATGTACTATTTATAATTTCGATAGATTTTATATTTATCTTTTTTTTTGTAGCGGATAAATTAAAAAATAACTTGTTCTAATTTATTTCTTTTGCACCTTATCCAAATTATCAGCAAGTGACATACGCATATGTTTTAGACGCGTTAGCGTTGCGGAATATAATAAGTGAAATAGATTTAGATCCAGTTTTTTAGGTAGATTTTTTAATTAAAGTAAGTAAACGTTAAGTAAAGAAACTAATAAGATGACCTAATATTTCTAGTTTATGAAGATATTAGTTACGGCTCAGGAGATTTAATTGTTTTGTACACACATTGAAATACTGACTAATTCTTATTCTAATTTACACGACAAAAACAATTATAAGACAAGATCTAACTTCTTCATCAAATATTAGTGGAGGTACTTGACCTACGCATATGCCTATATGTAATTATCTGTGCATGAGTCTAAATTAAATGTTCTTAGTAAAACAAACAAAAAGAAAATGAAGATGACTTATACAAATTATTTGTCTAAATGCTAATTAAGCTATTTGTACCTACTTATACATATGTCAACGGATATCCGCTACTTAGTGAATTGTAACGATACCCGAATTTTCTCAGATTACATTATTAAGTGTATGATTTTAGTTGCATTATTTATTAAATGCATTATTGGGATTCTTTCTTCTTACAATCGGATGAATCGTAACACATTATTGTGGTACGCACAATAATGTGTTACGATTCATCCGATTGTAGACGATTACCATCAGTTAGTGTCTATGGACGCTTGATAAAGTAGGGATGTCACATGTGTGTTACCAATCTTTGAAAAACCTTAATATATCCTTTTTCAAAAACACCATCCTGTGAAAATTTAAAGTTTCTAGTGAAAATCTCTTACTTAAATAATAAGAATAATTCAATCTCTCCTAACATAAAGTTTATGTTGAAAGTAATCGTTGATTTCTATTTTTGAGAAGGGAATTAGAAAGAGATACATTTCAGTTGTGAGATCCGACAATCTCTTAAATTAGCAGCACTCGCAACCGGACGTTCCAAGCATACTGAAACATTGCAGTCTTTGTTTTACTCGTATCTAGTACTCAGGATTTATATCAACAGATTGAATACCTAACAAGTGATTGAATATCTGTATCGAAAGTAAAAGTAATTTTTACATATTATAAATATTATTCGTGTATATAATGTAAATATTAACGGATTTAATTCGTCTTATGTAATGTGTGAGCTATTTGTTATTTAATTTGTCATAAACCTAATATGGGTTACTACCCATTGCATAACGTCATGGGTTGTGCACACAAAACCCACATTATTAAGCTAGAGCGATCTCGGGGAGCTTTGTTAAAAGTTTTTTTAAATGACATGTATGTACAGTACATAATTAATTGTTAGTGGATTGGTTTTATAATTGTTCGAAAACATAACAACATTACTTAATTGTCATTGCGAGAAATAGCATTTAAGATACATTAAATGCTATTTCTAATGACAATTAAGTCACGGCAAATTTGAATGCTAGTGCCACTAAAATTCTGAAACTAATGTATTATATTATCTGTGGCTGAGGTTTTATCTATAAAAAAAAATTATAGCCTATATGGTATTCTGATGTATAACCTATATTACTGTAAAGTTTCATTAAAATCCGTTCAGTAGTATTTGCGTGAAATAGTATCAAACATCCATCCATACTCTTAAACTTTTATAATATTACTATTAATTATATATAGTTTATAATATTAATAAAAAAAAGTATTACGAAATGTTAATTACACTGCTCATCGAAAACTTAAACTTAAGCAAACACCGAATATAAATACAAGAAACAAACATTTTGGGCTTATTCAAACCTGATACCATCAAAAGGTGAAGAAGCATATTGAATTACTACACCAAACGGGTTATTAAGGTTTTCATTTTGTTCTGTATTCTGGGATGTTTTCATAGTTTTTTTTTAAACATTATTTATCAAAATGTAATTTATTTCGAACATGATTCCCCGTTTTTGGTAATGAACAGCTTTTGTAAATAATGAGCACACCCGAAATCTATCTTTAAAAAGGTCTGTTCGGATATAATCATGTTCATTTCTTTCAATTATAGCGGTGTTGTAATCAGTTTAATATTGAAAATTATATTATAACCAAAGCATCATGACGGTTACAGTGCTTAAACTTGATTTAAAAAATCATGCTTATAATTTATGCATATCACGATCGCGAACGTTATAAAAAAATGGAAATAACTCCTTTAAAGGCGACTGGTTCCATCATGCCCAGTATAATGTAGGCATCGATGAGTTTTTATTCACATTCTTTTTTCTGCTATGAACGTTCGCTTGTTGAGTGTCAGTGACATTTCCTTTTATGGCACGATTTGTGGATTGACGTGCCCTACCTAAAATATGCTAATCCAC